TGCGGCGTGCCGGCCCTCATGGAGGCGGCTGCAGGACAGAGACGAATGCCGAGGTGTAAAAGGTGTACGAGGTTACTTTGCTCCAGGCATTACAGGCAGTGAAGCCGAACCGAGAGCGCCCGGTCTGTGCTCGATGCGGCTGCGCTGTCAGTGCGCTCATTTCCCCCTTCCCACCGCAACCGGAGCGTCATTGCAGGAGCACCGGCAGGACTCTCGCACCGCAGACCGGTCCAGGGACTGAGGCCAGCCCGATCCTCACAGGCAAACTCTCCAGTCCTGTGTTTGAGGATGTTTTCCTTTGGCTTAGCTGATCCGCTTACATCTGCAGGTCTTCAAGCGATTTAAAAGCATCTTTTCTGCTGCTGATGAGGTGGCCAGGAAACAAGTACCGGCACGATAGCCGATACTTAGGGATACTGTGGGGACTGTGGTACACGTTGCTGTAGTTGCCACAGCCGTAGCTACATAGGTGTTTTCCAGTCCATAGTGTACGTAGCACTATATACAGATAGTGCAGCTAAGAACTGAGTCTGTTGTTAAACACTTCTGCCAGTAGTAAGTATACAAATTTTTATTTAGAAAGTAATAAAGAAAAAGGGCATTCCCTCTCATCCTTTAAGTAGTAAATATATTTCTTGCTGTTCATGGTGGGGAGGGGAGGTTTTTTGGTTTCTCTTTTCCTGCAGTACAACAGTACATATTTCTCTTCTTAGGTGAGATGTCTAACACCACTGCTATTTAGTTTTTAATTAAGCTAAAGTTGTTTCTGGAAGTAGCTTCCACTGAGAAGCTACTACAAGTACAACTGTTTTTTCCTGGTAACGAGTGCTTGGTCTCTACTGACTTCAAACTCAAATGCATCTCCAACACATTGTGAATGGTCTCTGTCTCTCCTCAGATGTGACAAGCACTAACAAGGAACAACATACCATTTTATAAATGCCACCATCACCTTCCACCTTTTGGGATGGAGAAGCTCACATGTCCAATAGAATATTTTGTGTATAAGCTGGCCACAGAATAATAATGGTTTACAATATAAAGTTTGATATGTACCTAAGGAATTATGAGAATTGTATTTTCTTAGGAAAATCACTTACGCAATGTACATTAATGCATTTCTTCTTAAAACCCACAGTCCTGTGGAGATCACGCTCCAGAAACAGGGGAATAGGCCTCCCATCTGAAGTGCAATAAAGTCAGCTGAAACATTTTGGTAATCTCCAGTAGGCCCTAACAAACTTTGCAGTTTTAACACCTGAGAAGCTGCAGGGCAAGGCAACACAGGAGTCTATGTGAACTTCCTCATGAACCGGAGTTTTGCATAGGCAATGACAAGGAAGATGACAGTCATGCAGAAGAGAGCCACTATGTTTTCCCACATTGCCCAGCTGGTAGGTGCAATTCCTTGGCTGCACAGGTATGCTTCACCAGAACACCTGCAGAAAAGCACGGGGCAGAAGTTCATGTTACTATGTAGCACACATCCTCAGGTAATTATTATTGTTTCTCAAAGATCCTTCTAC